CTCGAAAGTGGCGACAGTTTCACAGATCGCAGCCCCCCAGGGATGGCGAGGTCTAATTTGAATCTGCCCGTGGCCCTCACTGTGCTGGGCCCCCCAGCAGGCCTCGAAAATGGCGACAGTTTCGCAGATCGCAGCCCCCCAGGGATGGCGAGGTCTAATTTGAATCCGCGCGTGGCCCTCACTGTGCTGGGCCCCCCAGCAGGCCTCGAAAATGGCGACAGTTTCACAGATCGCAGCCCCCCAGGGATGGCGAGGTCTAATTTGAATCCGCGCGTGGCCCTCACTGTGCTGGGCCCCCCAGCAGGCCTCGAAAATGGCGACAGTTTCACAGATCGCAGCCCCCCAGGGATGGCGAGGTCTAATTTGAATCTGCGCGTGGCCCTCACTGTGCTGGGCCCCCCAGCAGGCCTCGAAAATGGCGACAGTTTCGCAGATCGCAGCCCCCCAGGGATGGCGAGGTCTAATTTGAATCCGCGCGTGGCCCTCACTGTGCTGGGCCCCCCAGCAGGCCTCGAAAGTGGCGACAGTTTCACAGATCGCAGCCCCCCAGGGATGGCGAGGTCTAATTTGAATCTGCCCGTGGCCCTCACTGTGCTGGGCCCCCCAGCAGGCCTCGAAAATGGCGACAGTTTCACAGATCGCAGCCCCCCAGGGATGGCGAGGTCTAATTTGAATCTGCCCGTGGCCCTCACTGTGCTGGGCCCCCCAGCAGGCCTCGAAAGTGGCGACAGTTTCACAGATCGCAGCCCCCCAGGGATGGCGAGGTCTAATTTGAATCTGCCCGTTCACTGTGTGGGCCCCCAGCAGGCCTCGAAAGTGGCGACAGATTCACAGATCGCAGCCCCCCAGGGATGGCGAGGTCTAATTTGAATCTGCCCGTGGCCCTCAGTGCTGGGCCCCCCAGCAGGCCTCGAAAATGGCGACAGATTCACAGATCGCAGCCCCCCAGGGATGGCGAGGTCTAATTTGAATCTGCCCGTGGCCCTCACTGTGCTGGGCCCCCCAGCAGGCCTCGAAAATGGCGACTGTTTGACAGATCGCAGCCCCCCAGGGATGGCGAGGTCTAATCTGAATCTGCCCGTGGCCCTCACTGTGCTGGGCCCCCCAGCAGGCCTCGAAAATGGCGACAGTTTCACAGATCGCAGCCCCCCGCAGGCAAGACAGGAAGAGGCAGGGAGGGAGGGAGGAGGAGGAAGGAGTGGAGACCACACTGCTCTATTAAAAACGAATACCCAACCAAGGAGGGTTGGGAGTAAACATACCAAACAATACTCCCCCAATGCTCAGAAATAGTCACAAACCCGACTATTCTTTTACTATTTCTGAATACTCCTCCTGTAGAGGGACACGCCCGCCATAATCGCAGGGGGCCAGGGCAACCTTTGGCGGCGCGCACATAGGGGGTAGGGGGAGGGGGGAAGGCTTCTCAGAAGAAGGCTGCTTCTTAGAAGGCGCCGACCTTACATCGATGGAGAAGGCCCGCGTCTTCTAGGAAGCAGGGGTGTTTCTAAGAAGCCTTCCCCCCTCCCCCTGCCCCCCTCTGCGCGTGGCCGAAGCCTATGGCATCACCCGAAACGAGGCCCATGTGTGTTTTTTGATGCGGATCCAAAGCGCCTTCAGAGGACGCCCTAGAGGGAAAGCGAGTGCTTGCCGCATGTTTTGCAAGCTGGGGCACGCTCGCCAAAACGACCAGAGAGGCCCCCAGGATCGCCACAAGGCGGCCCAAGGAGGCTCAAGGAGAGCAACAAGAACAAATGGGCTCGCGAATGTGGGGCGTGTGGGGAAATCTGAAGGCACCGATGCCGCTACTCCCAGGACATCTCCCAGGGGTGCGTCCTGACCGGGGCGTCGAGGCGAGTTCGGCGGTGGCGACGAGGGCCCCCCAGGAGGCCCAAAAAGGGGAGAACGAGGGAAGGGCAGCGGTATCGGTGCCTGTTCCTCCTCTGAGCGTGGGCCCATGCGCTCGTGGGCGATCGCCGTCCGTCGCCGCTGTCCGTCGCCTCTGCCTGTCGCCCTGTCCGTCGCCCCTGCGTCGCCCTTGTCCGTCGCCGCTGTCCTGTCCGTCGCCCTGTCCGTCGCGCCCTCCGTGCCCCCTGCCCGTCGCCCCCTGCTTGTCTTTCGCCCTGTCCGTCGCCCTGTCCAAAACTCCGCTCGGGGCACGCGCTCGCCACGCCGGGCGCCCCGGAAGCGAGTCGCGCGGGCCTCAGGGCTCGGGACGCGGCGGGCGGGGCGGCGGCGCCCGGCGCGCCCGCGGCGTTAACGCGGGCACCGGGCCTGGCCCTGTAAGGCGGGCGCCGGCCCCGAGAAACTTGCAGAACGGCGCGGCGTCCACGCGAGGCCCTACCATTAGGTCGGGCCTGTCCCCCTACAGGGGGATTTTCGACGAAGAATTAAAAGTCCCTATAAAAAAACAAAAAAATAATCCAAAGATAGTCTGGGGAACATTTTTTGCATACCTTTTGACCTTTTTGGAGCATTTTGGGGTATCTTGAATGTTTCGTCGAAAATGCCCCTGTAGGGGAATACGCCCGACTGAACCCTGCCAGTGCGCGCGCGGGCGCGGGGCCCATGCGCGCCCCTGCTGCGCCGCGCGCGCAGTAGCCGCAGGGCCAGCGCGTGGCCACCCGCAAGGCGCGCCAATGGCGCAGGGGACCGGCGCGCGGCCCCGCCGCGGCAGCGCTCGAGGCCGCGCGGAGCGCACCCTGTGCGCGTCCTGTGCGCGGTCGCGGCGCGAGGCCCGCTCGCGCGCTCGCCCCAGCCTCGCGCACAGTCGTGAAATCGAACGCCACAGCTTCACGGATTGAGATGTGCGGCTCTCGCCTTCGCGTCGCGCACGCTCGCCGTAGACGGTTGCAAGAGTCTCACGGATGAAGGCGGCCGGTCTTCAAAGTGTCGCCCTCGCCAGAAGGCGCCGGGCACATTCGTTTCCAAAAGTTGCAAAAAGGTTTCGCGGATTCTCATCGCTAGCGTCCCAGAAATGGCGCTGTGAAGAAATGTGAAGCTGTAGGGGCGCAGTGGTTACGTACGTTGAGTCGCGAGTTTAGTCCCCAGATTCGTGTGCCGGCACGATTCAGGATCGTCAAGACGCAACAGAAAGGTTGATTCGTGGCGTTGAAGTCTCAAGAATGGTGTTCTGTCTGGCACGGCAAGATTTTCACGCGTTTTTCGTCCAACGGGGCAAGCCCCTCCGTGGAAATGAATCCTTGTAGGGGCCTCTGACGAGGAAATTTGAAGGAAGAGTTTAGTACAACATCGTTGATGAGGCTTGATTTTGCACTGGTCATCCTCATTGTTGATTCTCGGTGCTGCTACTTTTGTTATTATTATGCATATCCGTATTATTTGTGCATTACTAATATTATTCAGAGTTGTATGTTTTTTGTTCCTCCTCCTCCTCCTCCTCATCATCATCCTCCTCCTCCTCACGTTCCCCCTCCAACCCTACCATCCCGCTCCCCCCACGGAGGAACAAAAAGATACCAATACCACTACTCCCGGGGCTCCTCCCAGTGTGTGCGCTGGACGACCAAGATTTCGAGGCAAATCTGACAGTGGCGACGAGAAAAGCGTTGCGGCACATCGTCATAGCTCCCTCCTCTGACCTCGCCCCTACTCCCCCCCTCCCTTACCCCCCTCCCGCCGTTTGCAAAATAAACGCCTACTTGTAGAAGGCCAGAGCGCCCCGCGCCCGCGCCCCGTATCTCAATGTTGGCCACCGAATGCGGCAAAAAGGAGTGCGACGTGCTGCGAAAGAAGCGCCCACTTCTGCGTGGGGGCACGGCTTCCTCGTCAAACCTTGGAAACACGGGGGGGAAGGGGGACGCGAGCTCTGTCGCCTTGTCGCCGATGCCCGAGACGGGCGCTCGTGGCGCAGACGACGGCGCCACTCCTCCGATCTGACTCTTGCAGCCCAGACCCATTTCAAACTGTGCGTCTTCCAGGAGGCTGAAGTGCCGAGGGTGGATCCTGTCCCAGGTCCGAGCTGTGGAGCTACTGAAACATCGACTGGCGGCTCGGAGCTGATCTGCCGAGATATCTGCGAGGTCATCTCCTCGCAGCCCTGCTCGCAGAAGCCCAGGCTCGTGAGGTCGAGCGCGCCAATGGCTACTTAAACGTTGCAGCCCAGACCCCAGAGCTCCCCACCCCTGCTCCACGGGCGAGCTTGGCTCCTGGATATCCACGTGGCGCTGGGGCCTTTGGTCGGGCCCCGGGGGCCCGGAGGCGGGTGCAGACGCCGCGGCCGAAGAGCAGCGCCGTGCGGGCGCGGCCGCACGAGACCCTCGCGAGGCACCCAACCCCGAAAACCCGCGCGCGAGGTGCACCTTGAGGGCGAAGCCCGGAGCACGCCCTGCACGCAGCAGCTCCTCCGACGGCCGCGGGGGAGTCACCGCGCAGCGCGCGGAGCGAAGAGATCGGGGGTACCCTGACGAAAAAGAGATGGCTTCTTGATGCGCCCCCACCCACTGCAGCTGTCGTTGGAGAGAGCTGCCCGCGGCCCGCCTCCGCACCGAGCTCCCGCCCCCGCCGCGCGGCGCCGAGCGGCGGGAGCGCGCGCAGCTGCCCGTGGTGCTCATCACGAGCCGCGACGAGG